ACAACAGAACATATGGGATTAATTCCAATAGAGACTGGCCCGACCCCCAAACTCCACTTTTTGACGACACAAAGCTATGTTGTAGTAAAAATATTATCTTAACTTTATGATGGTATGCACACACAATTAATATAGAAGAGGTTAGGTTAGGAAAAATAAAGGTTAAATTAGGAAAAATAAAGGTTAGGTTAGGAAAACTAAAGATTAGGTTTAACACAAGTTAGTAGAAGAGATGGGTCGGCATGCGGGGATGAAGGCTGGTTCCGAGGCAGAGGGCAGATTACTGGCCCTCTGGTGAATCACCATCACTAGGTGAATCACCATCACTATCCGTCATAGTTGTCAGGGCCTCCCTGACAAATCCCTCAAAGTCACCTTCACTGTCACTGGCTGGCTGTGGTGGATTGCGGGCGAAGAACTCGGTAATGCTTTTTTGACGGCTAATGTTGATGTTGTCTTGATACACCTTGATGTATGGCTCCATAGCCTGCACCAGCCGGGTATGGAAGACTTCATAGCGGTCATCGTCATGGTCGTTGGAAAGGAAGAGCTTCAATTTCTCTGCATACTCGATGGCACCCTTAATATTACTATGCGTTAACTTGTGTTCTTCTGGGATTGACGCACCATCTTCCTCTTCACTGACGTGATCATCTTCCAACATCTCGTCGGCAGTCATTTCAGGATCTCTGATCACCTCCAGGATGTCTTCGTTGGTGGTCTCGGAGAAGCCATCAGCTGTAATACTGTGCGCAGCTTCTCTTGCAAGGTCCAATGCCACTGTCACAGACTGAACCTCACCAGTCACAGGTTGACTCCGCCTCTCACCTGGTATACCATGCAACACATGCCTCCATGCGTGACGAATCGTAGCTATAGACAGCTGATTCCATGCCTCCACCAAGAAGTCCACAGCTTGTTTGACGTTGAATTTTTTCCAAAACTGTTTGACGAAAACTTCTTGATTCACCACCTCTTGTTCCTTGTCCTCGTCCTCGTCCTTGTCGCTTTTGCTCTCGCTATCGGTGTCACCCAGGTTACGCAACTCATCCTTGGTGTTGGTACAGTCGTTCAGGAGCTTAAATTTTTTTGCAGAGTATGCAGCTTTCACATTGCAGATCAACTCCTGGTCCATGGGCTGGATTAATGACGTAGTGTTGGGAGGAAGGAAGACCACTTTTACGTCGGGGTGACGATCCATAAGTAATGGCGAGTGTCCTGGTGCGTTGTCAAGGAGCAACAGAATGTTGAATGGAACATTCTGTTGCTCGCAGAATTTCTTCACGTCGGGAACGAAACAGTCATCAAACCAGGAGAGTGACAGAGCAGAGAACATCACGCCTTATATGCGGTCAGCCAGTGGACATTAATCTTGCTCATGTCCACATTCTTGTAGGCGTGCGGCTTGCGGGCTGTGTGAATCACCGATAACTTGGGTTTACAGGTACCGGAGGCATTGGTGGTAAAGAGGACGGTGATGCATTCCTTCTGCAACTTCTGGCCCCGAATCTTGCTGGCAGACTGGACAACGAAGGCCTTGGAAGGTAGCTTTTTCCAAAAGAGACAGGATTCGTCCATGTTGAACACCTGGTCGTCGGTGTACTGCCCTTCCTCCATAACCTCACGTAAGAACGGAGGAAAATCTCTAGCCAACGCACGGTCATCACTCGCTCCTTCACCACCAATGTTGATGTTGGTGATTTTTTCCTCTTCTTAAACCTATGCAGCCAACCAGAGGAAGCATTGAAGGGTTTGGGCTCTGCAATTCCCATCTTACGTGACACTGCTGCGTACAGTTCACGGGCGTAGTCTTGAACGTATCGCGTGTCCATCGCCATGTTGCGTCGCGCCTGACGAATCAAGTAACTCACCAACAAATTTTCAACCCTTAGCAGCACCTTGTTCTGGCAATACTTGATCATTGAAGCACCTGCAGACTTTGTGATTCTCATGTTTTCTTTGATCTTGGCTGCATCCTTCTTAATAGTACGAATCGTAGATTTGTTGACTCCATGCTGGCGCGCGAGATCAGCTTGACGTGTTCCTTTCTCCAAATCTTGAATGATCTTGTATTTCACTTCGTAGCTTAGGGAACGTCGTATCTTCTTTGGCTTAGGGCGGCTGGGTCCAGGTAAGGAAAGGTTTCTCTCTGGGGGTGGTGGTTCGACGGAAGCCATTTTACAGAACAATGGATTCACGTATACACGGTGTGGCCTGGAGGGATGAAACTTCTCCGGCTAGGTCAAGCGTCGTCTTTCCTCCCTCCCTCCCGCGGGTGGACCCGTCATATTACTTTAAACCAATCACAGCTAGCAGCGGAGGGAGGTAAGGATGCATGGCCCAATCACAGTCCGATACGTCATATGACGTCACTGATAACGCAACAGAGACATGGACTGCACAACCTTACCGCGCGGCTTGCCCAGGCGGTAGAAGGCGGGATGGTCAAATCTAAAAATAGCGTCGAGCCAGACACTGCGCGTATATAGGTAGATGCACCGCGGAAAGTGAAAATCCGGTTCTGGCGAGGCACCGCGTAAATGAGAAATCGCGGAAAGTGAAACCGCGTAAAACGGGGTAATACTGTACAGTGGTCACTCGGTTAATGAACACAATTCGTTCCAGAAGGTTGTTCGTTAACAGAAAATTTCGTTAACCGAAACCATTGTTTCAATGGGATTTTGGGTAATTGGTTGCAGCTCACCGAAAATTACATACAAACTAAAAATAAATGCAGTAAAGTACACTTACTTTGAGGTGTGCATGTAGAAGGCTCCTGGTTGATGATGATGATGGTGATGATGGGAATTAGAATGGGGGTGGAGGAGAAGGGAGAAGAGAATGCTTTGGGGTGGAAGAGAAGTCACCCCATGCTTCATGTCGCCATTTCACCATAAAATTTTAGTTCACTTGGTGTAATTCAAGATTATTTAATTTAAATCAACACTGCACTGCATTATATATTGTCAATATGTAAAATAAACTTCAGAATGACCAATAATTGTACTGTAAAAATAGTTTATGTTCAAGAGAGTCTCAAGCAAGATGCTTCCTCCTCTGAGCAGGGACACACTGATGCTATTTTGGGTGAGTCAAGTGTCTGTTTGGCGCGCTAAAAACTTCTGCTTTCATTTGTTTACTGTATTTTTCTTTTACAATGTTCATTTTTAAACATGATTTCAAGCATTACACGCCCCTTTTGTTGTAGTGAAAAATATTTGTTTACATTTTTGTCAAGTGTTGACTTTATTTTTCTTTAAAACTGCTCGTTTTGATAAATGAAGCATGCTGATGCTGTATTTGCTAATGAATAAACAATCAAAATTTACCTGTTCATCTCTTCTTTATTCCTCCTTAAATTTGAATTTTAAAAGTACTGCCTGAGAATCTGGAAAATCCAAAAATCCGGACTGACCCAATCCCCGAGCAGTCCGGATTTTCGGACTTCTACTCCGGAAAATTCCGGGGATGGGGGATTTTTCTCCGTGTTTGAGAGATGAAAATGAGGCGCATTTTCTGGAAATTCCGAGAAAATTTTTCCGTTACCCAGAAAATTCCGGGGATGGGGGATATTTTTTCTGGGTTAGAGAGATGATGTAATGGGTAATTTCTGGAACTTCCAAGAACATTTTTCTGTTACCTGGAAAATTCTGTGAAATTCCGGGGATGAGGGATTTTTTTCTGGTTTTGAGAGAGTCTTCTTGTTACCCGGAAATCAATCATTCCCAGAAGTGCTCTGCACCAATTGTTCCGGCTAATAGGGATATCACTGTACTGTAGCTCGTGTGCCACATCACAGCCACAAGCTCACTCCGACAGCTGATGATCGCCTTCGCACCGCCCCGCAGCCTCAGATTTATTTTATTTATTTTCCATGGCAATCTGCAAGTTTCTGAGGGATGCCAGGTTTAAAACCATGAGCTTTAAGGGAATACTGTACTGTATTGTGTGCAACACCTAACAGTACAGTAAATTGTTCTAATAAATGTAACACTACTGTATGTACTGTATAATTAATACATAACAATAACACTGTAAATAATTGTTCTGACAGTCTTAAGACTACACTACAGTATATACATTACTCTTTACACTGACTTTACTTAATCACTGTTAAAAGAGGCACACACACACACACACTGATGCTCCCGGGACCAACTCGGGCTGCCACGCTTGATCCGTGGGTTGATTGCACATAACTTGTCTTCTGCCTATTTAGTGCCTATTTGCTAACTACTGAAAAATGTAATGGTTGTCTGGTATCACACTGACTTACTGCAAATTCTGACTTATCGGATGCCGAGCTATGGGGGTTTAACTGTACAGTATTCTAGACAGCTGCTTTCTTGGTGAAATTTAATCATTCACTTAGTTATTTATGTATACCGTATATATATTTTTTTATACACAATCTGATACAATATCAGTTGCAATTACGTTTCACGTGGTTGTATCGTCAAATTAAAAAGTCACGTTACATCCCCGTAGCCTTGTGTTCCGAAAACCATCATGAAGAATTTTGGTAAAGTGATATTGAAAATTTGAGTTAGAACGGAAATTTACTAAAATTCTTATTGTTGGTTACAGAACATAAGGCAACAGTAAGTGTAACACAACATTTTTCTTTGACTGTACTGTGCATTCTCTTTTTATTTCTAACTTTATTGGAGATTCTTATATTTTAACCTAATAACACTGATATTGATCCAAATAAAATTAAGTTTTTTGTTGCATTTAATTTTTTCAGCTTTCTATAAGTCTACAGTATTATGAAAACAATGCATTCAACCCTAAGATTTTATAAGATGCCTTAGATTAGATTTAACCCCATTATTGTACAGTTGTGACTTCATATGAATGTTAATCCATCTTCTTTAGCAGGATACCACACCCCTGAAACAAATAAGCATAATACAGGATTCCTTTTTAAATACTCCAGTAAAACCATAATTTTTATTTTTGTGATTGTCATAAACTTAAATATTTTTTTATGTTAACAGGGTAAAAGCGCAACTCCAATATGTGGAATCCTCAATAGTCGACCAGATACCACAAGTGACTACTCTGAGAAGTACTGCATACTCTTTTACAAAGCAATCCATCGCCTGGCTGTGGATGAAGACTCGGCTGTAAGTCGCCTCTTTTTTATTTTTTTATATCTTAATTTTCATTTGGTGACATATAACCTAAGTGATTGCATCACCAGGGATGTAATTACCACAATCGATTGAGTAAATTGCCTTTATTCAAGACATCTTCAGGTCATAAGACCCACTAATCCTCCACCCAACAATGGGTGACCTGACGTTAGTAACATGACCCAATAATCTCTCTCCCAACCTTCATCACAAGTGTTAAGGCATGATTAGTTATGTATTACAGTCAATTGAGTGAAGTGTCTGCCTATTCTAGGCTAAAGATGACAAGATCTGCTGAGGTACAATATATACAGTACACAAGAGGACTTGCCAACAGTGCGTAACAGAGACGAGACCGTTCGCTCAAGTGGCTGAAGTGGTGAAGAGGATAAAAGTAACCCAGCTCTGTTCACGCCTGTATCATGTAGAGCTTTTGTTGTTTTAAATATATTTAACCAAACTTTTAGATAAAGTATACAGGATTATGTTGATAAAGAAATGGTGTGTCTACGAAATTAGAACTGATTTTACCGACTCCGGTATCAACATTTCTTTCCTTTTTTTTTATATACTGTATATAAAAGAATGGAATTCCCATCACTATATCATATAGAAATATTTCATATAACCCTTACACCCCGGGTGATGTTCCAGAACGTCTGCCTTTTCCCTTCACTGTTTGAATGGCCATCACAGGTTAACAAGTACCAACGTGACTACAGTACAGTATAGTCTTCATTTACGCGGTCAATTGAACCCGTGGAGTACCGCGTAAAATGAGAAACGCGTAAATGAAATAACAGAACATATGGGATTAATTGAAATAGAGACTGGGCCTACCCCCAAACTCCACTTTTTGCAACACAATACGTACGTTGTAGTAAAAATAGTATCTTAATTTTATGATGGTATGCACACACACATAATATAGAAGAGAAATATCAATAAGAGAATAATATACTGTACCAGGTAAAAGAAAAATCAAGGTTTAACACTTACGTTAGTAGAAGAGATGGGTCGGCATACGGGAATGGGGGGCTGGTTCCGAGGAAGAGGGCAGATTACTGGCCCTCAGGTGAATCACCATCACTATCCACCAGTGTTCAGGGCCTCCCTGACAAACCCCTGAAAGTCACCATCACTGTCAATATGACTGGCTTGGGCTGGCTGTGGTGGGTTGTGGGCGAAGAAGTCCGTGATGCTACGCTGACTGCTAGTGTTGATGTGGTCATGATACATTTGTATGTACTGCTCCATACTTTGATCTAGAAGGTTATTGAAGACTTCATACCGGTGATTGACATGGTCTTTTGAAAGGGTGAGCTTTAGTTTCTCGGCATACTCGATGGCATCCTTTACATCACCATGAGTTAACTTCAGTTGTTCTCGGGCTGCTGCACCACCTGCTTCCTCACTGACTTCATCGTCTTCTAACAACTCATCGGCAGTCACCTCAGGATCCCTGATTACCTCCATGATGGCGTCGTTGGTGGTCTCGGAGAAGCCTGCAGCTGTAACACTCTGTGCAGCTTCTCTTGCAAGGTCCACTGCCACTGCAACAGATTGAGCCTCTCCAGCCATAGCTTTCTTGACGTTAAACATTTTCCAAAACTGTTTAACTCGCACTTCATGCTCCGCCAACTCTTGTTCTGCATCCTCGTTGTCGTCGCTCTCGCTATCTGTGCCACTCAGAAGGTTCCGCAACTCATCCTTGGTGTTGGTACAGTCGTTCAGGAGCTTAAACTTCTTTGCAGAGAATGCAGCCTTAACATTGCATATCAACCCCTGGTCCATGGGCTGGATTAACGAAGTAGTGTTGGGAGGAAGGAAGACCACATTTACAATCGGGTGATGATCCAACAGTAGAGGCTAGTGTCCTGTTGTGTTGTCAAGCAGCAACAAAATGTTGAATGGCACATTATTTTGAGCGCTCACAGAATTTCTTAATGTCGGGAACGAAACAGTCGTCAAAAAAGGAAAGGGACAGACCAGTGAACATCCACGCCTTACGTGCGGTCAGCCAGTGGACATTTAGTTTGGTCATGCCCATGTTCTTGTAGGCGTGCGGCTTGCGGGCTGTGTGGATCACCGACAACTTGAGCTTACAGGTACCGGAGGCATTGGTGGTAAACAGGACGGTGATGTGCTCCTTCTGCAAATTTCGGCCCCGACACCTGCTGGCAGACTGGACAACGAAGGTCTTGGAAGGTAATTTTTTCCAAAACAGACCGGATTCATCCATGTTGAACACCTGGTCGTCGGTGTACTGTCCTTCCTCCATGACTTCTCGTAAGAATGGAGGAAAATCACTAGCCGCCACACGGTCAGCACTCTCTCCTTCACCACCAATGTTAATGTTGGTGATCTTGTTCCTTTTCTTAAACCCTTGCAGCTACCCAGATGCGTACAGTTCACATGCGTAGTCCTGCACTGCCCGCGTGTCGACTGCCATGTTATGTCTTGCCTGACGAATTAAGTAGCTCACCAGTAAGTTCCCCATCTTGAGCATGCACCTTATTCTGACAGTACTTCACCATTGAAGCACCTGCAGACTTTGTGATGCTCATGTGTTCTTTAATCTTGGCTGCATCCTTCTTGATCGTCTTGATCGTAGATTCGTTCACGCCATGCTGGCGCGCCAAATCAAGTTGTCTCGTTCCTTTTTCTAAATCTTGCATGATCTTGTACTTAACTTTGTAACTTAGGGCATGTCGTATCTTCTTTGGCTTGGGGCGGCTGGGTCCAGGGAATGCAAGGTGTTTCTGTGGTGGTGGGGGTCCAGCGGATGCCATTGTTGAACAGATTAGCGAGCACAATAGAGCACAGGATACGCAGCGGCAGGAGAACAGTGAGACTGACGCGGCGGCTGGGTCAAGCGCTCCTTCCCGTCCCAGGCCACGCCATATAACATAAGAAAAATCACAGCTAGCGGCGGAGGGAATGCGTGGGTGGTAAGGATGCGTGGCCCAATCACAGTCTGATACGTCATATGACGTCAGCGATAACGCAACAGTGAACTAATGCGCACCCCTCACTGTGCCGCTTCCAGCGTATGGTCGAGAATGGACCGCTTGAAAGAAAAATGACATGGAGCGTCTGGACCTCCAGCCGCTCTCCGCGTAAATGACCAAATTTACCGCGTAATTAAAGCATTTACATTCTGGCAAGGCACCGCGTAAATGGCCAAACGTGTAAACAAAACCCGCGTAACTGTCGTCATGGAGAGTCGCCGCTCAACCTCCCGTGTCAGGTCGCCAGCTTTCTCAACCCCGATCAAGCGTTGCCGCCACCACAGGTTAGGTTAGTGAGATAAGGACAGAACTAATTGATGTGACTGCTGTAGTATGCGATTCTGGTGATGAAGGCCGTGATTATATGCCTCGTGATCCTGAGGATAGCGTTGAGTTAGACAATGTTTTCGGGACAAATGGTGATGAGGACAAGGCACAGCCAGCGCGGCGTAACCCCGCCACGAGCTCTCGACCCAGACAATGGACAATGGATGCCTTTGCTTGGTCTGATGGCAGTAATTCTCAGCCTGATATCCCTGAATTCAGAACAGCATCAGGTGGAATTACTCCTGAATTTCCTTGTACAGAGGAATTAAGTGAGATGGACTACTTTTGTGTTTTCTTTGATGGTGCAATCATGGACTTACTGTGTACCGAAACAGAAAATTTTTATCAGTACACGTGTGATGCCGACCCCGCCTTGGCCCCTCGCCAAAAATGTGCCGATGGACTGATGTTGTTGTGTCCGAACTGTATGTGTGTATTGCATTATTGATGCTAATGGCACATGTGAAAAACATGTACTTCAGGAGTACTGGATATCTCACGATGACATCACAACTCCATTGTTTGCCTCCATCCTACATTATCTACACTTAGTAGACAACAACAACAACCCTGTGGCTGGTGACCGGCTCTGGAAAATAAGGACAGTTTTTACAATGCTGAAGGAACGATTCACAAAGTTCTTCAAACCCTTCCAGAATGTAGTGGGGGACAAGTCAACCCTCACTTTACGCGGTCCCACATTCCGCGTTTACGCGGTGCCCTGCCAGAACCCAGGATGCTCACATTCCGCGATGGATGTACCCCTTTACACGGTGAAGTATAATTTTTTTTAATTTAGCTCATAAAATTCATACAAATTATCCGGCCAGAATATAATTTACATTGCTGGAATTCCTACAATTTGATGATCATTTTGAATATAAACATCATAGATTTTGCATTAGACATACAAATTTTAGATATAATGTTTACTCTTGAGTAAATATGTTATCTTTTGTGCAAAATATATGATATTTATATTCAAAATATTCCTGGTCTTACAAGGAATCCAGCAATGTCAATTATATTATCCTAACTTTAGTCTGATTTATTATTTATTACTAAAAAGGTAAACAGTCTGGTATTCCCACACATTTATCTAGTAGGGACGTTGGTGGGGGGTGGGGGGGAGGGAGGGAGGGACCGGCGACCGACCATCTGTTACCGTGTGAAGAATATTTTTTTTTTTATTAACTGAAGATTTTTATTTTAGCTCATAAAATTCATACAAATTACCCGGCCAGAATATAATTTACATTGCTGGAATTCTTACAATTTGGTGATCATTTTGAATATAAACATCATATATTTTGCATTAGACATAAAATTTTTAGATAAAATGTTTAATCTGAGTAAGTATGTTATCTTTTGTGCAAAATATATGACGTTTATATTCAAAATATTCCTGGTCTTACAAGGAATCCAGCAATGTCAATTATATTATCCTAACTTTAATCTGAGGTATTATTTAATACAAAATGTTAAAATCTAAATTTTTCACCCAACATCTCTTGAAGGGAGGATTGGTGGGGGGTGGGGGGGGAGGGTTGGGACTGACCGCGCGGTTGGAAGAGGGAGGGGGGAGGCAAGGTGGGGTACTTTGATTGACAGATAGTGTAGTGAAGAATATTTTTTTTTTTTATTAACTGAAGATATTTGTTTTAGCTCATAAAATTCATACAAATTACCCGGCCAGAATATAATTTACATTGCTGGAATTCTTACAATTTGGTGATCATTTTGAATATAAACATCATATATTTTGCATTAGACAAATTTTTTAGATAAAATGTTTCATCTGAGTAAGTATGTTATCTTTTGTGAAAAATATATGACATTTATATTCAAAATATTCCTGGTCTTACAAGGAATCCAGCAATGTCAATTATATTATCCTAACTTTAGTTTGAGGTATTATTTATTACTATGCCTGGTTTTCCCCCCAAAATTTCTCAGAGGGGGAAGAGCCGGCAGTGTAGTGTGAGAGGGGGAGGGAGTTGAGTCCATTATTTGAATGGACATTAACTTGGCGACTGTATTTCTCTATTTCTCTTAAGTATTAATTGTGTGCATGTACCATCATAAAATTAAGATGTTATTTTTACTACAACATAGTTATGTGTCATCAAAAAGAGGAGTTTGGGGATCGGCCTGGACTCCATTTCAATTAATCCCATATGTTATGTTATTCACTTTACGCGTTTCTCGCTTTCCGCGGTACCCTCCGGGTTACATTAACCGCGTAAAGTGAGGGTTAACTGTATAGTGATTTAAGGGTGATTTAAGGGAATTTTAGGAGTGTTTCTGACTTTATGTGTTTTGGCTTTACTTTGTATGTACAGTCATCCCTCACTTTACGCGGTTAATGTAACCCGCAGGGTCCCGCGGAAAGTGAGGAACGTGTAAAGTGAATAACATAACATATGGGATTAATTGAAATAGAGTCCGGGCCGACCCCCAAACTCCACTTTTTGACGACACACAACTATGTTGTAGTAATAATTGTATCTTAACTTTATGATGGTATGAAAAAACAAGTAATATAGAAGAGGTTAGGTTAGGAAAAATAAAGGTTAACATAGGAAAAATAAAGGTTAGGTTAGGAAAACTAAAAGTTATGTGGAACACTTACGTTAGTAGAAGAGATGGGTCGGCATACGGGGATGGAGGCTGGTTCCGAGGCAGAGGGCAGATTACTGGCCCTCAGGTGAATCACCATTACTAGGTGAATCACCATCACTGTCACTTACAGTTGTCAGGGCTTCCCTGACAAATCCCTCAAAGTCATCTTCACTGTCACTATCACTGGCTTGGGCTGGCTGTGGTGGGTTCCGGGCGAAGAAATCTGTTATGCTTTGCTGACGGCTGGTGTTGATGTTGTCGTGATACACCTTGATGTAGGGCTCCATAGTGTGCAACAGCTGGGTAGTGAAGATTTCATACCTGTTTGCATCAGGGTCGTCGGAAAGGAGGAGCTTGGCTTTCTCGATACTGTACACTCGATGGCACCCCTAACATTACTATGGGATAAGTGTTGTTCTTCTTGGGATGACGCACCACCTGCCTTTTCACTGACGTCGTCATCATCATCATCTACCATCTCCTTGGTAGTCACATCAGGTTCCATTATCACATCCAGGATGTCGTCGTTGGTGGTCTCGGAGAAGCCTGGAACTGTAACAGTCTGCGCAGCTTCTCTGGCAAGGTCCACTGCTACTGCAACAGTCTGAACCTCACCAGTCACAGCTTGACTCCTCCTCTCACCTGGTATTCCATGCAACACATGTCTCCATGCTTGACGAATTGTAGCAATAGACAGCTGATCCCATGACTCCACCAAGAAGTCCACAGCTTTCTTGATGTTAAATACTCTCCAGAATTATTTGAACAGTATTTTTTGCTGTGCCAACTGTTGATCCTCATCTTCTTCGCTCTTGCTATCGGTGGTGGTGTCACTCAGGTTGCGCAACTCTTCCCTGGTGTTGGTGTAGTCGTTCAGGAGTTTGAATTTTTTCGTAGAGAATGCCGCTTTTACATTACAGATTAACTCTTGGTCCATGGGCTGTAATATAGACGTAGTGTTGGGAGGAAGGAAGACCACTTTTACGTTGGGGTGACGATCTAACAGTAGGGGCGAGTGTCGTGGTGCGTTGTCCAGCAGCAACAGAATCTTGAATGGCACATTCTGTTGCTCACAGAATTTCTTTACATCGGGAACAAAACAGTCATCAAACCAGGAGAGGAACAGTGTAGAGAACATCCACGCCTTACGTGCGGTCAGCCAGTGGACATTTAGCTTGGTCATGTCCATGGTTTTGTAGGCGTGCGGCTTGCGTGCTGTGTGGATCACCGATAACTTGAGCTTACTGGTACCGGAGGCATTGGTGGTAAACAGGACAGTGATGCGTTCCTTCTGCATCTTCTGGCCCCGAATCTTGCTGGCATTCTTTACAACGAAGGACTTGGAAGGTAGCTTTTTCCAGAAAAGACCAGATTCGTCCATGTTAAACACCTGGTCGTCGGTGTACTGTCCTTCCTCCATAATCTCACGTAAAAACGGAGGAAATTCCCTAGCCGCAGCACGGTCAGCACTCGCTTCTTCACCACCAATGTTTATATTGGTGATCTTGTTCCGGATCTTAAACCTCTGTAACCACCCAGAGGAAGCATTAAAGAGTTTGGGCTCTGTAGTTCCCATCTTTCGTGCCACTGCAATGCACAGTTCACGTGCGTAGTCCTTAACAGAGCGCGTGTCGACCGCCATGTTCCGTCGCGCCTGACGCACCAAGTACCTCACAAGTAATTTTTCTGTATTGAGAAGCACCTGGTTGTGAAAATACTTGATCATAGAAGCACCTGTAGACTTTGTGATCTTCATGTGCTCCATTATCTTGGCTGCATCCTTCTTTATTGTTCGAATCGTAGATTCATTCACACCATGCTGGCGCGCCAAATCAACCTGCCTTGTTCCTTTCTCCAACTCTTGGATGATGGTATACTTCACCTCGTAGCTTAAGGAACGTCGTGTCTTCTTTGGCTCAGTGCCGCTGGGTCCAGGTAAGGAAAGGTTTCTCTCTGGGGGTGGTGATCCGGCGGAAGCCATTTTAGAGAACAATGGATGCACGTTTACACGGTCTGGCGTGGAGGGATGAAACTGGCGCGGCTAGGTCAAGGATCATCTTTCCTCCCTCCCTCCCTCCCCCGGGTGGACACGTCATAATCCTTTAAGCCAATTACAGCTAGCAGCAGAGGGGGGTAGGGATGCATGGCCAATCACAGTCGGATACGTCATATGACGTCAGTGATAACGCAACAAAGACACACACTGCGCAACCTTACCGCGCGGCTTGCCCAAGCGGAGGGAGGAGGAGGGAGAGGCGAGGAGCACAGGCAGGCAGGCGGGTGGGGCGAATCTAAAAATAGCGTCGCGCCGGACACACTTCGCGTAATGTGAGCACGTTAGGTTCTGGCAAGGCACCGCGTTAATGTGGAAACGCGGAATGTGGGACCGCGTAAAGTGAGGGTTGACTGTACAGTATAGTCTCGATTTACGCGGATTTCCTTTACGTGGTTGGTCATTTACGCGGCACCTGGCCAGATGCGGCAATTTTTAGTTATGCAGTACATTCCATCATTTACGTGGGAAGCGGCGCGGGCAGGGTGCGCGCTGGGTCGCCCAGTCAACAAAACATTACCGAGTTCTTCACCCGTCACCCACCACAGCCAGCCCAAGTCAGTGATAGTGAGGATATGGACTTTGAGGGGTCTGATAAAGAGGCCCTGCAAGCTTTTGTGGTGGACAGTGATATAGGTGAGGGCCAATAATCTGCCTTCTGCCTCGGAACCAGCCGCCATCCACGTGTGCCGACCCAGCTTTTCAACTAACGTAAGTGTTAAAAAACCTATTATTTTTTATATTTCTCTTAATTATTATTTATGTGTGCATACCATCATAAAATTAAGATGTTATTTTTACTACAACGTACGTATTGTGTCGTCAAAAAGTGTAGTTTGGGGGTCGGGCCAGTCTCTATTTCAATTAATCCCAAATGTTCTGTTATTTCGTTTACGCGTTTCTTGTTTTATGCGGACCTCCATGGGTTTAATTGACCGCGTAAACCGAGACTATATTGTACTTTTCTGTGAGCTGGAACCAATTACCCAAGATCCCATTGAAATAATGGGTTCGGTTAACAAAATTTTCGGTTAATGAACGACTCTGTGGAACCAATTGTGTTCGTTAACCGAGGGACCACTATATATTATGTATGGTAAATGAAAATATATCTTTATTTTGTATGAACTTATTGAGTTTACTTCAATTTATAAATTATTTAGTCATTATTTATTACAACAGCAGGATGTAAACTTCTTTGAGCTCTTCAGGGGCTCAGGAATGGATCTTATTTTTCCCCATAAGCAATTAATGTTGATATATGATTGATCACTTATTGATGGTTTTATGAGGTCCCTAACCCCATCATATTATGGCCATTGCCTGTACAGGAAAGTCTAAATCACACATTTCATGGTAGGAGGCATAGACCTTACTGGTGAAACTACAGTACAGGGATTGTATGTCTTTTGGGTGACAATGTGGTGACCAACCCTTTATTTACAAATTACCTAATTGTACTGATGAATGGTCTCAGTGTTGGCAGCTAAATGTGGGACTCCTAGCAAATAAGTGATTTTGTTTAGTGTGCCAAGATTTTTGGATATCCAGATTCTCTTTAATTATACATGTCTTGTTTTGTCTTTGGTGAATTGGCAATCTTGGAGAGTTGGAATTGATTTATGGGGAATTTGCTGTACTGAGATATGAGAGAACTGATAATTTAGATGTAGCTACAGTAATTAAAATATTAAATTTTTAGTGTGAACATTAACATAGCTTATCAAGTAAAACTATAGCAAAGTAACTTGAAAATTCCTTTTAATATTTTTTAGCTTCAGTACAGGTATATACAAATGCTTACTATTCCTCATTTTTGCTTTCAGCAATACTTTCCTGTGTCTGATGCATTGGAATGGGATGTGTGTAATGAGACAGAATCCCCACCTGCAACCCTTGACATAGAAAATAGATACATCTTTGTCTCCTCAGACAACAACTGTTCTCACTTGGAGAGAGCCAGCCGAGTCCAGGTACAGGGGAAATTCTTGAAGATGGTTGTTGTTGTGGTTTGTCATTATTACAATGAAATCTGGTGGTAAATTATGGAAGAGTGATTTATACCAATTGAAATCTATTGGGGTTTCTGTTGAGGTAAAGATAAAACCACATGTTATTTTTGCATTTTATATCTGGGTTTCATAATATTCCCATGTATTTGGGGTGGATTGGGCATAAACACTTTAATGGAAACATTGTAATACAAAAATTATGAAATGAAAATGGTAAAATTTTGTATACTAAACCTTCGAAGATCCAGACCCGGTAAATCACAATTTCGGAAGATTCGGACAAAAAATTTGGGGATTCTGGGCTAAGAAGCCTCCCTAAGAAGCATTCCCAAAAAAGGGTGAAGTTAGTTTTAGGCTTAAAATTTTATCTTATAAAATGTCACAGACTAAACTTAGCAGAATATAACTTACATTGCTGGAATCCTTGTAAGATAGTGAATAATTTGAGTATAGCCATTACATATTTTGCAAAACAAAATATTTTTTTTTGTCCTTTAATGTAGTACATCGAGTACAAATGAGTACAGTACAGTTGCTAAAAATTTAGGGTTTTTCACAGGAAAAAGTCTGTATAACTAACCCCAGTAGTCATGATAATATTTACTGTATTTTTGTTGCTATTTATATAATTATATATCGTTTTTATACATTTTGTACATTCACTTTAAATTGGGTAACACATTGGCAAAAGCACTCATTGATGGTTGGGATAGCAGAGCTTTCAAACATGTTAGGTGTGTCTCAGGATTTACCCCTTCAGCATGTATGGAACTCAGTGGATAAGCACATTTAATTATGAATCTATTGTGTTAGAATAATCTGTTTATTAGAGAAACCTTTCACCAGAAGTGTGAGGGCTCTCACTCAGGGTAACACAATATTAGAAAGACCCATTAATACTTGGTATGCCAGTTTCTACCCTGTTAGTTTAGTCTGTTGGGATTGATCTCAGAAAAGCTCATTGTTTGTAGAACCCAGTAGATTAATAAGCACCATGTACTGTACGAGTGAAATCTTCATCCAGTGGCTTAGCTTGAATGGTCTATTATAATTTCTCTCATATTTTCATGTCTCCATGAAGTATTACATATGTCAATCACGGTGATTATATGCTCCCATAAAAACATGAGGGAGAGCAAGGAAGGAAATAATGCTCAGTTCAAATAAAAGGTTCTCTTAATTTAAACCTATATGCAAAGGGTTGACATAACACCTTTTAGAAAGTTGCTATTGTAGTTAACCCTTAAGCCCCGAGTTAGGGTGCGGCTGGCAGTAAACGCTCCCCCCCCCTCCACCCCAGCGCGGGGATAAATTGAGAAAAAATCAACTTTTCCAAAAAAATAAAAAAATTGGCTGGAAAATAGGCGGACGATCTGTAACGTCACCTAGGGCCTAAGGGTTAATCCATAGAAACGTTCTCCCACTCCACCCTGTACAGTATTCATAATAATTAGAGTGAACATACACAACCAAACGAAAACACATAATACTGTACACAATACACTTTTACATGTGAAATAAACATCAGTAACATGCCCTTCCAGCTGTTTTCCTGTTCAAAGACTGGAAGCCAATAGTTGTAAAACATGAACTGACAAATATAGCAATAAATGATGTAGGAGACATATACACTACTTGAGTTCAAACATTCACAATGTTGAGTATCCGAGCAAATGCTCGAACTCAAATTTCTGGATATGTCTTCTATGTCATATATTGCTCTATTTGTCAGTTCATGTTTTCAAACTGTCAATTCAGACTGCAAAATGCCATTTAATGGCATTCATACATCACCACTAACTGAAAACTGTCCATTCGAGCCAAAAAATGCTGTAGTCATGTATAATGCAGTAAGCTCAACACTTACATTAGTGATGCATCCCCAGGAACTCTGACATTAATTTGAACATGTGAATTGGACCCAATTTTACCATTGACTTTATGAAAAAAATGTAGGGTAAATTCCTAATTGCAATAATAACCTGTTTGATGATAGAAAGATTAAGTTGTTTTTGTAAGTTTTGGTTTTTAATGTTACAGAGCTTGGGAGGTGCTGGCACCTTAATTGTGAGAGAGAAACTACAAGCACCAAGACAAAATGACACAAACTACAACTTCACTCTTGCCTTTGTCCAAAACTCCAGCTATACCAAGATCATGGTGAGTATTAGTACATAAAGTTGATATCATTGTGGAACAAATGCAGCTATGATTAATTATTTATGCAAATTCACTATTTACTGTATTATATTTCCTTGGTACAAATACCCCTGTACTCCATATTGATATACCCCAATGAAACCGAATTTTGAAATAAATCTATATAACTGGAGTATGTAATGAAAACTATTTAATGATAGAGCTGACTGAGAGATCATTATAGGTTCTTTAGAAATGTGTATGGAGATAACTTTGTTAGAGGCAGCAATGATGGGGATGCATAGGGGAATACAGTATTATCTCAGTTAGTTGGAATCCCTCAAACCTGGAACTCTCCGATAGCCGGAATTGAAATTTACTCGGAAAGTTATTCCCAATGCCGGAATTAAAAAGAAAATTCTGGCTTTGAGAAAAAAATTTCTAGGTACTGTACTGTAGAAAATCAGAGAATTTTCTGAAAATACAGTATCTTGAATAAAGATGAAAGTTAAGTATTTTTGGGAGGGACCTGACCTGGCCTGACTCCATGTCAGGTGGAGGTAGGGTGGGGGATTAGTGGTCTCATATTACTGATCTTCTGATGGAATGTCAGGTCACCCTTTCTTGGGTGGGGATTAATGGGTCTCATGACCTGAAGACGTTATAAATAAACACGAAACCTCAAGTATTTTTAGGGAGATTGTGATAAATATAAGTATAAATGAACAAAGTTGTATCCTTTCAACATTACATTACATAACATTTTAAAATATGGAGTGAAAAAGCAGAAAGGTGTAGGTGACTAGAGAGATGGAGTGGGGGGGGGGGGGTTACTTCCCTATTACTTCTTCTGAAGACTCACACTTATTTGGGAAAGTTGCAGAAAATTTTTCACAAAACCATTTGTCTTAGTTCACTTCTCTGAGATGGGTGAACTGATACAATTCGTTATATGTACAGTCAGCCAAAGATCCAGCGACCCCACCCTGAGTCTCTTACTGGCAATTTTACCTGGCAATACTTGGTAAAGTAAGGCTTTATGTAATGGTGATTGTGATTGGTGGATCTATTTGCGGCTGCATTTCTTTCAGGATAAATATTAAACAATTCAAAGGTAGAATTTTCATAATAATAAACTATTCATTCTTATTTAAGATCATGAGAAGTTAACAAAAATTTGTATATTTGGTTAAATAATGTAGAAATTATATTAATGAATTGGCAACTCAAACTACAATGAGGACTGCCACACGCTTCTCAGATCAAATTTTCTTCATTATTTAAGCAACTATAAGAACATTTGGAAACTTCTCATGATCTTGAATAACAATGAATAGTTTATTATTGAAAAAATTCTACTTTTGGATTGTTTAATATTTATCCTGACTAATGCAGCCGAAAATAGATCCACCAATCACAATTACCTTTACATACAGCCTTACTTTACCAAGTATTGCCAGGTAAAATTGCCAGTAAGAATCTCAGGGTGGGTTTGCTGGATCTTTGGCTGACTGTACATATATATATTTACACTTGTATCTACAGAGAGGCTGGCCACTTGATCTGGGACTGAGAGCTGTGAGCTGAGAGTAGTGTTAGAGATACTATTTAGATCTGCTATGACTGAAAAGGTCTCTCAGTCTACTGCTGAGTGGTACATCAGTAATGTGTGGTGTCCAGCTAAAGCAGGGGTGTCAAACTCATTTGCCAAGGTGGGCCAGAGTTAATATGAGTACACAGTATTCGGGCCAAGTAACATAATTATGAGCACTTCGCAATCACCTCTTAGGTGAGTAGTACGATAAAATAAGAAAGGTGGATTTAGTCTGCGCTTGTGGGAAACCCTTAAAACAAACAAATCAGGTGTTTACTTACCTTGATCAATCTTATTGTTTGCTACTGCTGCTTCCTGGTAATTGGCACCTCTTGGTATGGACCAGTGCATCAAAGTTTGGCACTAACGACTGAGCTGTAGCAACCTTCAGTATTGAATTAAGGTGAGCATCAGTAAGTTGAGACCGAAGCCGAGACTTGTTCAAGTTCATCACAGAAAAGAGTTGTTCACAGACATATGTACTTCTGAACATTGACATAATCTTTGAGGCAAAACATTTAATCCTGGGATAATATGGTCCAAAATATTGATAAAATGTGCCAACATCATCACTCGAAAACTTGTTCCTCAACACAGAATCACACTGGAGCTCAATTAATTCTAACTGAAGATGTTCTGGTAGCTCATTAACACCAACAGAGAATGGGTCCTGAAAAATGAAAAAAATCCTTCTCAAGTCTTTTAAAGTCAGCAAATCTTTCTTGGAACTCCTTCATTAATTTAAAATTCTTGATGCAGTACTTTTTTGTGTTGATATCAGTATGAATCTCAGGTGTGCCTTGCAGGGACTTCAAGGTCGGAAAGTGAGAAAGATTACTCTGATAGTTGCCGTTGAAAAAGCTGAAGTTTCATCTCAAAGGCACGAATGCAGTCATAAAACTCTGTCACCAATTTATTGCATCCTTGCATCTTTGTATTAAAGTAATTTAAGTGTTCTGGAATATCCACCAGGAAAGTTAGATCTTGAACCCATTCATTATCTTTCAGTTCATGCAAATCCCTTCCTTTCTGTTCCATAAACATCTGTATTTCACTGTGCAATTCATAAAATCGCTTCAGTACGACTCCCCGACTTAACCAGCGAACATCAGTGTGATATGGCAGTCCGTGTGTGTTCTCCATTAAGCAGTTGAAAAGTCTGTGATTCAGACCTTGCACGCATATGACATTATCCATCTTTAATGTTTTACTACACAACACTTCTTTATGTATAATACAATGCACATTATAAATTTGATGGTTCGGGTTCACAGCTATTAGTTTTCCCTTTAATTTTGCTGCCACGCCAACTTTTCTACCCACCATTTGCGGTGCTCCATCTGTAGCCAGACTCACAGTTTGTGCCCAGTCAACACCTAATTTATCCAGTGCCCCCACCAAATCCACAAAGATGTCATCACCTGTTGTTGTTCCTTTCATTGGTACCAGTTTCACAAATTCTTCTTTTACTGCATATTTTCATCCACACCACGTATAAAAACTACAAGTTGTGCTACATCACTTACATCGGTACTTTCATCAATTGCAACTGAAAATGCAGTAAAGGACTTAACTTTGTCTTTGAGTTGACTGTTAATACTCTCTGATAATTCACCAATTCTTTCTGCAACTGTATTTCTTGAGAGGCTTATGTTTGCAAATTCTTGACTCGTACAGTGGCACGCTTACAACCACAATTAACCGTTAAAACTTGTACAGTGGCACGCTTACGACCACAATTAACCATTAAATTTATCTCCAGTCTTATTGTTCTTTCATTGGTGATGTTGATTGAGTATTTTGTTCTAGGAAACAACAGACTATTTTATTCAGCTGAGGGATACACTCACTATTTAGTTTTAGCTCCTCAAGGTACGACTGGAGCAGCAAATGGGCTGCGGGCCGCATGCAAGAGTGTGTCGGGCCGCATGTTTGACACCCCTGAGCTAAAGACTCCTAGCTCTTACAGGGCGAACCCACCCTGGGGCTAACTGACAATGATGTCACGAAGGATGGTGCTTGGGTTCAAGCTTCTAGAGGCTTCTACCAGCAGGAAGGGTTGGTATGAGTCAATTCCTTGGCATGAACACCTGAATCTGTGTCAGCAGCGTTCCTGAAATAGCTGTCTGGAAAATGATCTCGTTAGAGCCGTGAATCATCCTTAATTAATGTTGAAAATATCTAACTAATTTGACTAATAATTTACATCAAATACTTGAAAGTGTACTAGTGATAAACAATATACCTAGTTATCAAGTAAGGGTCATTAATTAAATAAGTAATGAGCTTCAAAGGTGATATCGTCATACTGAGACATCTCTGGTCGACACACTGTTGCCAGACCGTGTACGTGACTAAAACAGCTGCGCTTGAGCAGGCTAAATATTGCTTACTAAATGCTTACTATACATGAAAACATGAAAACATCTTTGACACCTGTGGGTCAATGTAAGATGCATAATGAAAACTTATTCATCCATAGTGTATAATACTCTGGTTGCTATACTGGTTACAGACTAAACTACAGTAGTGTAAACAGCTTACATGTGAGTGAGTGGATATTTTTTTGTGTTGTTTTTTAGCTTGCCAAGCACATTGTAGGATTTGAAGAAGTTGATGAAGAGTTTGTTCAGGAGTCATGTGGTGAGGTGATGTGCCAAGACACTTACACAGCACACCAGTGGTGTAGTGCTAAAAAAAGAAGTGAGGGAACGCATTTTGAAAGTGTTACTCAGATGGTGGGGGCGCTGGCAAGTGCAGTGAGCCCATACAACTGGGGGTCCTGACTGATTTTGGGGGGTCAAAAGAGGGGTTGGTGGGTGGTGGGCATTAACATTGGGGACAATATCATTTATATCATTGCTTAACTGACCCTCACATAGGTCTAATAAATCTATGTTCCAATTTTGGTTACAAGTGGTCCCATTGTGTCGGAGGAGTTTCGTGACAGACAGACGACGACAGACAGATAAGTTGAACTTTCCGGTTCCCTATATCCTACTGTACTATACACGCGGGCGGCATTTTAACCCCCAGTTTCGATACCAAACCCTGCTAACGCAAGGCTTGATAATGGTGATGTGTAGCTTCTCATGATTCCATTCTCAAAGCAATACAATTTATTAAATACAATTAAAAAAATATTCTATTCAGGCTCACTTTGAACTTTTGCAGTCTTGGAGAAATTGTTAACAGAATTTCCAAACTGGGTCCATAGTAAGATACTTAGACTTGGCTATTCTTGTTTGTGTATCAGTTGCTGAACGATGACACCTAAGCCATTTGTGTACGTAGTCGTCTGGTTTCCAGGTTGGAATCGGAGGACCGTGAAGTTTAATAAATATGAGATTGCTCACATGGTTGATTAATAGTCTAGACCTCATTTCCGTCACGATAAGGTTCATGCTGCTAAAGCCTCGTTCGCATT